CTGGGCCAAATAAGAGCAAAGATCTGAACTTGTTTGGTGTTGATGTGATGTACAACGATCACCGTGATTATTTCCTCCTTTACATCCTTTCACCTTCTCAGATATGTTAACAGGAATTAAGACTAAATAAGCTTCAAGCATCAGCCAGAAATAGTTTGATTAACCTTGTGAATTCAAAAAGTACATCCAGATGTTCAATGGCTATTTTAATTAAACTGGACGTGTATGATGTATAAATTTAATTAATTTAACCATAAATAAATGTGATGAATATAGAGATTAACATATTTATAACTTTTCTTTTTCAGAATGTCAAATGAAATGCTTAATTTAAATGTGACCATACTTCTAGACCATGATATGGATTGAGTTTTTTCTTTATCAGATAGAACAGTGTGTGCTAGGAAGGAAATGTATGACACAAGCCAACAATACTGTGACTTTGTCGACTTTGTGGTTACAATGAGGTTTGAACGTAACATATGATGACCAATTTTATAAAACCTTAACATGGTTGTTAAAAAAAAAAGGAGAAGAAACAACTTGCAGTGTGCAAGACTGACAGTTGTCGTTACTCTGGACATAATCTGGATTGTTTTCTCCTCACTTATGTCATCTTTGAACATCCAGATGGTGTTATGCATATATTTTAGGAATTCTGCATAATAATATAACATAAATTGTGTTTGTATCTTCAGTATGTGTGCCTTACTCATGCTTATTTAAGACAACTGGTTGATTATGTCACTGAGGTTGAAACCTTTCAGCACTTTCTCTCATTATAATGAGATGTTGCTCCTGTGATTGTTTCCTCTGGAAGTTAAATGCTTCTGTAGCAAACTCAGGACAAACCACTGCTGAACTCCTTATAGGATCACAGAGAGCCAGTGTTTTGGTGTTGGTCAGGACTCTGGCAGCAGTATTTATAAGGATGTTTATAAGAATGTTAAATTGCAAATCTGTTGAAGTAAAGAACTTGTCAGTCTTCTTATTTCAAGCTGTTGAACTGGATCTGAATAGTTTTTTATTCATCTTCTCCTTCTTTCATCAGGGACCCGCAGGTCCTGTTGGAGATACAGGCATACCCGGACCTCAAGGACCCCCTGGACGTCAGGGACCAAGCGGCCGCTCCATCATTGGACCCCCTGTAAGAACATCTGGCTTTCTGATTTACATTTTACAGTTTCTGTGCGACCACATTCATTTTCAGTACCTGGATCTGTTGTCTGCAGGGTCCTGTGGGTGAGAGGGGGCAGAAAGGTGAAGCTGGCCAACAAGGACAACAGGTAACAACTGTTCACCTGATATCCGATGTTTAATCTGGGATTATTCTTCTTTTCACTTTTTAAATTGATTTTTTTTTTTTTTTTTTTTTTTTTTTTTTTTTTTGGAAAGGCCGGATTTTTTTTTTTAAAAATTTTATTTTTTATCAAAT